TTTATGAAGTATTGAGATACTATTGTGGAGATGCCCCGTTGACATTGTTATGTCTTGAAAACTTTATGTTTTATTTTGAGAACCCAATTTGGGCGAATTGATGATTTATGGATTTATGAATCCCGTTTGGAGATGATTTATGTTATGGCAATGATTTGAAATAAATGAAAACGCCACAAATGTTTGAAATAAATTTTGAAAAATTTATTCGGATTTTTCTAAAAGTCCGGAATTTCTTTAAAATCAAAGTGGGGCGTTACAGTGCTTTTCGTGTTTGTGTTCTTTCTCTGCATCTTTGTGTTTTTGTCTTTTTTTTTCTTTCGTGTTTGTGTTCTTTCTCTGCATCTTTGTGTTTTTGTCTTTTTTTTCTTTCTTTTCGTGGCTACGTGTGGTTGTTCTGTTCTGGTGTGCAGGAAATATGAACTTCAACCGTGTGTTTCCCTTACCGCACACTCAATCCTGGGTTAACGAGCTGAGCTATCACGCCGGGTATCACATCCAATCATACTCATACTCTTCCGAGCAACGTGGGACACCTTCCCGGTCGAGCAGCCTTATGAGTCCCACGAGTTTAACGAGAAGCTCGACCGTATTTATGCTTTTGCAGCCCAGTGTGCCTGTCTGAGTAATCAGTCACCTACTTACTATGATTACTCAGTCACCTCCTCGAATGCTTGCGTCGGTTTGAGCTACGATTCTTGGGACTATGGCCAGACTTTGTCATATCCTTACGAGCAGCAATGGGATTCCGTGCTTGTCGAGCAATCATATGAGTCCCTAAAGGACTCCTCAGAGTACAATGCAAAGCTTGATCAGGCTCTCGCTCTTTTGACATCCCAGACAGCCCATAGGAGCAATCTTGAGTCTAGAATCGAGAACCTAATGGAGCGCATGCAAGCCCTAGAGCATCGAGTTGACAATTTCTTTTCCGAGCCCACTGCTCAAGGCAAATCTACACATAAGAATGAACCTCGGGAGGATGCTTTGACGTTTGATGAAAAACTCAACCTTATTCTTGCTCGCATGTCTGCCCTAACAACTCGAGATGAGGAGATTGAGATCGGATGTGCTCGACTGAGTTTGCAAATGGAGATTTTAATAGCACATACCGACTCAGTCGAGGCATAAGTCGACAACCCCCACCTTATGCTTGATGCTCAAGATCGTATTCTAAAGCAAATGTGTGAGGCTGAAAACAAAGATGATGCACTACCTAGAGACGGGAATGATACATAAGAAGAGGAGGTCCATGGGCTTGATCAAGAATTCACAAATTCTCAAGTCCCTCCTCCCACCAATGAGTTGGAGCATTCACCTTCGAGGGCATTACACTGTGATACTAGGTGGGTTGGATTTAGCTCGATTTGCTCCACTGATGCGCTTATAATTCTGGAGGTTGGCGATAGAGCTCGGATGGGAAAAGCTCTGTGTCTTAAATTGGGGATTGCTCGTGCCCAAACCCGTTTCATCCAGAACATAGCCACCCGGATCCACCGTGCCCACCTTCTTGCCACACTGCCCATGCTACCACTGCTAGAGGATACGAAGGCGTGGCACGATCGTCACTTCTTTTTGGACCCCGACTGAGTTCGTCACAGGTTTTGTCAAAATAATGACGTTAAACAAGCACTGTATTGTTGAGCATGAACGAAAGGCTTGCACGTGAATGCTTATTCCCCTCGACGCTACTTCGGTTTGCACACCCTTTTTTTTTTTATCTTTTTTAGTTGCTTCTTCCTCGTGTCTTTTCTTTTGAGTTTTGTGTTCTTGTATTAGCTACTAGTATTGGTTCATGATATGAATTCCCAGTTATGCGTTGAAACAATGAGGTCATTGCCTCATTTTAAGTGTGGGGAATTTACTTGGATTTTGCATGCTTATGTGGTGGACTGGTCTAGTTTTAGGTTTTTGTGTTGTTAAGCATGGTATTGTTGAATTATCTGATTTGTTGATGAATGTCTGATGAAATTGAAAAGTTGTGATGACGGACGTGTTGGTCATTGCCTCGATATATGCTTGATTGCTTTGAGTGACATTTATTTGCCTTATGAGGTTTGATCCTTACTCTTCTTTCTTGTGAGATATTGGCCATATTCTTGAATGATTATAACTTGCCTTGAGTTTCTTTGAAAGGAAACGATTAGAGTTTGAAATTGCGAAAGTGATTGAGGCGTTTTGTTTGATTAGCTCTCTTTAGCCTTGTTCTTAATCCTAAAAGTGCATTTTTCCGCTAGTAACCCGTTTGAGCCCTGAGCCTTTTCTTGTTAGCCATGCATATATTGTATTAGATTGTTGACGGATTTGTGTGATGATTGGTGAAAATGGTGTTATTGAATAAGGCGAGATTGAGTTGAATATCTTTTGCTTGACTAAAAAAAAACAACAAAAAACAAAAAAAAAAGAAGAGAGAGCTTGCAAGTCGAATCGAATGGATTTTGCTCCTCTTACTAGTCGATTCATGTTGGTGGGTAATGAGCATTGAAAACTACTGTAGGACGCTTGGATGACCACCAATAAAGGTCAAGTGACGAAATACAACTTGACTTGATCATTGACGTGTTGTATGTGGTGTCTTGGTTGGGTGGAAAGTGTGTTGTCATGGTTATTCCGGATGAGTAGCGGAGAGCTCGAGTAATCTATTTACTTGAGAACTTTGATTGTTTATTTGAACTTCTTGTCCCATATATATCCTTAACTTTACCTAAAGCCGTATTACAACCCGTGAAGTCCTCTTGATTCGCAAGTCTTGAGCTTTGATTGTTTTCTAGTAATTTAAACGATTGGCAAGCATATGTTGAAACTTGAATATCGACCAATTTGAGCGAACCTATCACATATTTATGTAAGAAAAATGAGTGAGGCATATATATGTAATCTATGTGTTGAGAGTTTGTCATTTCAAGGCCAAGTCGATATTTGAGGCATATGGTCGTACGGTCGTTGGAACTCAACCCGACTGAGTTAGACATTTTGAGGCTCTTCTTATTTGAAACCGTATCTATGCTCGTCTTGTTTTCCTTTCTTTTTGTTTGGGAGGAACAAAGGTTTAAGTGTTGGGGAGTTGTTTATCCTATTTTTGTTGTATTTTCCGTTGTTATTTTACCTTTAATTTTCCTCCGTTTAGGTCGTTTCTTTGGTTTTTAGTTGTTTTTGAAGTTTATTGCGTGTTTTCCTTCATTTTTTCCGTGTTTTTCTTTCATTTTTTAGTTTTCTCCGTTTTTGTTTACGTTTCTAGTGTGCAGGTCTAAAGCTTCAGGCTGATAGAATTTCAAGAATAACTTTGCTACCATAATTAGATAGAAGGGCTCGTTGGCGACAAGCAGGAAAAAGCGGAACTCAATTCCGAGTTCGGACGAGCTCAAACGAGCCCAAAACGCAAAGTCGCGTGAAGCATGTTTTCGGTGTGCAGGTCATAAGCTTTGGGAGAATAGGATTTCAGGAAAATATTTTATGGGAAAGCATAATTGACTAGAAGGATTCGTTGGCGACGCGTAAGAAAAAACGACACTCAATTCTGAGTTCGGACGAGTTCAAACGAAGTCGAAACGCAAAGCCGCGCAGCCTAGTCGTTAGCGGCGCTAAGGCTGGCCTAGGGACCCCTTAACGACCCCAAACTCCACTGCCCAGGCGACCTTAGCGGCGCTAAGGGGTTAGCGGCATTAACCCCTGCGCGACCAGATTTTTATAAATCTCGATTTTGCTCGATTTTTCAAGTACTTTGCATTGGGACTCGTACCAGACCTAAAATAACACCCCAAACTCATTTTTCTCCTGATTTTCATCTCAGAACACATAATTGATCTTGCTTTTCACCTTGATTTCTTCATTTGTTTCGGATTAATCTTGTGTCCCGGATTCAACTTTCAATTCCGTTTTAATCGTAAGTTTTTGTATTCATTTAATCCATGAATATGATTGATGTGATTGTTGAACTTGATTATGTTGAATTGTATATGAGTAGTTAATTCGATTCGCTAGGGATAGGGGATGATGTTTTGAATTCGATTGTGATTATCGTGCTTGTTGATCATTCAATTTATGTGAGTTATTTTTAAAAGGATTTCCGGTTATCATCCTTGATTGTTGAATGTTGTTGATGAGTGACACCTCAACTTGCAATTGATTATCAATTGGACATGATTCATTCGGGTTTGATATTGTTAATTTGTAAAGATTAGTCGGTTAACCACCTTCTAGTCTAATTTAATCAACTCTTAGAACCGAAAGGAGAGGAGTTGATAAATCTAGGCTTATATAAAATGGCTTGTTCGTAACTGTATTGCATATGTGTTAAACGACTCGTTAATTTGCCGTCACATTTATTCTCTTGTTACGAAAAGTAATTGAGGATGAATCTCTGAACGAGTAGGTTTTTCGAACCCTTTAACCGAATGATCACTGCCCATTGAATGCATTCAAACCAAAACAAATATCCCCGACTCCCTAGCTTATTTATCATTGTTTGTGTCATGTTTTTGAGTTAATTTATTTTTTATGCATTTTTTGTTATTTCCTAATTGATAGTTCAAACCCCAATCGTGATTAGAGTGTTTAAGATTTATTTTACTTTTGTGTGCGATCAATATCGAATTTAGATTCCGAATCGCCTTTCTCGAGATATCGACTCTGGGAATGAATCCTTCGATTCGGTACTCGTAAAAAAATAATTTGCTACAACATTCATCACTCCATCTAGAGGCATTAGGCAAGGGAATCCTCTATCCCTTTACTTTTTTATTATTACCTCTGAAGCCCTCTCCATGTTGTTCGCTTCTAAAGTCCAAGCTAGCAGGTTCAAAGGATTGAGAATCACAAGAAGAGGCACCCCTCTTACCCACCTCCTATTTGCAGAGGACACATTGGTCTTTTGTGAAGCTACATGTTCTCAAGCTCCAGGATTACTGCATATTCTTCACAGATATAAAACCTTCACTGGGCAGCAGGTTAACTTTCACAAATCAATAGTTTTTTTCAATAAGAATTTCTCCCCTACTTTGAAGAGAGATATTTGTTTGGCTCTGGATGGTATCTCCTCTCACAGGTCTTCTAGATAACTGGGCTCACCACTTGGGATGGGCAAACCAAAGAAAGAAGCTTTTGACTATGTGTTGACAAAAGTAATAAAAAGGTTGGGAAGTTAGAAAAACAAACTCCTCCCCCCTGCAGGCAAAGAGGTGCTCCTCAAATCAGTTATTTGTGCCTTACCAGTCTTCACTATGTTCTGCTTCTCATTGCCTAAAGGACTATGTAAAGAAATTGCTATGCTGAGTGCAAGGTTTTGGTGGAGCTCTGGGGAAGATCAGAAAAAAGGGATTCATTAGAAAGCGGCACCATGTTATTATTACAAAAGAATATGGTGGCCTGGGATTCCAAGATATTAACCTATTCAATGACTCTTATTTTAAAGCAAATCTGGAGGTTAATTTCCAAACCTAATCTTTTGGTTTCTAAAATCTTATTAAGAGAAATACTTCCCCAGGTGTCATGTTCTTGAAGCAGGAAAAGTGAAGTCTGCCTCCTGGATGTGAAACTGCAGGATGGCAGTTAAAGAGAAGTACAAATATTTTTTCCGAAAGGAAGTGAGAGATGGTGTCAAGACAAAAATTGCCTCTGATTCCTGGGTACCCTCTCTCCCCTCTGGTTACCTAAGATTTGGCACAGTGATACTCCTCTGGTCTGGGTCCATGAGCTCCTTGAACCAGGAAGAAATAGGTGGAATGAGGAGCTTGTTAGAAGTTGCTTCTCACATGATGAAAGTAAGGCTATTCTAGCCATCAACACTCTGAACTCTACTTTCAAAGACAAATGGATTTTGGAAGGGAACTCCAATGGTTCAATTTCAGTGGCTAAGGCTTACTCAATTGTCTATGAGGAAATTGCTATCATTTAACAAGCTGAATGTAGCACTAACATAGCCAAAGACTGTACTGCTAGAAGAAGATGTTGGTAGCTGAATATTAAAGGGAAGATCAAACATGTCATATGGAAATGCTTCTCTGGAGCCTTACCTGTCAATACTATTGAGGAGTAGAGGTCTTACAATGGATTGCATCTGCCTTTGTTGTGGTGAAGAAGAGAAATCTGTTGAACATCTTCTCGTCCATTGCACTAGAGCTATGCAAGTTTGGAAAGCCTCTCATGTGGACTGGGACAACCTACACTCCATTAGCAACAAGTTTAATACTGGTGGTGGTGGATCTCTTCTATTGACCATTCAGACATTTCAGAAGCCAAAATTCAGCTTTCAACCTATATACTCTAAATGCTTTGGAAGGCTCGTAACTTGTGGGTTTTTCAATAGCTATGGCTTCCTGTGAAGACCATCCTGCACTCAGCCTTCAAGGAATGATTGGAGTTCACCAACACGAAGCTTGTGATCTAAACTCTTACAGGTTTGAAGGTGACTTGGCTAGGTTCTTCATGGTTCAGTGGCTCAGTCTCTTCTTTCCTTTTCCTTATTCTGCTTCTGATTGTGCTTCTTTGGTTTCTTGCTGCTGGAGGACTCGAGCATTCCAGCTTGCCATTGGTGGTTTCTGTTAGCTTGTTTAGTTTGGTTATTTGGGTGGTTTTATTTTGTTTAGTTGGATGCTTTTTAGTAGTTGTTTGTGATTGTATTTTAATTCTGTTTAGTTTAGTTGAGTGATTTTTAGTTGCTGATTGTGCTTGAATTTGAGGTCGCCTGCTGCGGTTCTCCCTTGTATTCTCCTTCTTGGGACCAATCGGTTCTCCGATTTGTAAAACGGTTTTTATTTATTGAGTTCATCTTTCGTTTCAGAAAAAAATGTAATACATATTATTCACATATATAATATTATATTTGTGAAGATGTTAAATTAATGTGTTACTAGACATATTTTTCTAGCATCATACATATTTAGAAAACTTTTAGGTGATTTCACATTTTTTAAGAATAATATATGATATTTTAGATATTTTTCCGTATGTTATATAATATTTTCGGTATTTTTAATATATTAAGTATGCATGTTTTATGTTCCTTTATACAAGCTAATTTTATATTATTTACAATAAATCGATATACGCAAATTATATGACATGTTATCCCAATATCTTTAATTTATAATTATTATTTAATATTATTTACATGTGCGATATCGCACGGGGTAGGTAGTAGTACATGACTAAGGGGGTGATTTTTTATGAATCCAACTAAAAAAACTAATCAGAACTCAAATTTAACTCAACTTTAACCCAACCTCACTATCCTCAATATTATCAATATAATTAAATAATATCAACCAAATTCTGACACATCACATTAACTTTAATTCACTGTTCATCCACTCACATAATTTTAACTAACCATCACTCCCAATCATTTTTCTCCTACGTTACATCAAATCAATTTTAGTTATTTTAATATATCCACTAACAACTAATCATACCACATTTTTTCAAAATTAATTATAGTTAAAAAACAAACCAAATAAAAAACAAGTTGAATCCATAAACAGTCACCCCCTAAATTCGTTTACTTAAACAATAATTAGCATTAGAAAGAAAAATAAAAATTTCAAGCAGTTGTTGCATAAGCCAAAAATCTCTTGTTTTTTGGTCTATCGCCAAGAAAATAGAACCGAAAGAGGAAATCCCATTCACATTTTTTTTCCAGAATTGCTATTTGTCGCCCCAAATTACTAGTTGTTGCCTAAAAAAAAATAATAAAAAATAGTAAATTTACAAAAATATCCCTATTGTAAAAAAAGTTACTAGAAAAAAAAAAGTATTCAAACGTCTAACATTAAAGCTCGGAAGCCAAAGAAACGTCCAGAAGCTAAGCTTGGACGCCATAGAAACGTCCAAAGCGGAAGCCCGATTGTTAAAACAAACGTCCAAGTGCTAAACTTGGAAGGCAAAGAAACGTCCAAACGTGGAGCCCGACTCTGAAGCTAAACGTCTAAAAGAGAAGGGGCAACACATGTAAAACTTTTGAAACTCAAGCTTATCATAGAGTTAAACATCCCATGAGAAAGCTTAAGGCCATAATAAACGTCCAAGGTTTAAGATTTGATGCCACACAAACGTCCTATCGTGAAGCTCGACTCTGAAAGCAAACGTCCAGGAGCAATGCTTAGAAGGCAATGAAACGTCCAATGTGGAAGCTTGACTGTGAAAACAAACGTCCAAACGTGAAGCTTAACTCTAAGCTACACGTCCCAGGATAAAGCTTAAGGCCCTATGGAACATCTTAGAGTTAAGCTTTGAATCCATGCAAACGTTCTACTGGGAAGCCCGACTGTGAAGAAGAACGTTCACAACGAAAGCTTGTATTGGTCATAAACGTTCAAAAGCAAAGCTTGCCAACAAAAAGAACATCCAATGGAAAAGGGGTCGGGTCCAGGTCGGCCCTCGAGACGGCTCGCTATATTTTCCTTCTTTTTTTTTTTTAATTGTTGACCGGGTCAAGCCGGCCCGTGGACTGGTATTGGATCGTTGGCAGCCCGTTAATCTGGGTCGTTGAAAGTTTTTTACCGTTTGAGATCGAACTATCAGATTTTTATTTTTTTTTGAAAAAAAGAATTCGGTTCCACGGTCTGGGTCTGGGTTCAGTTTTGACCTGGCCCACCGGTTCCACAATGGTTGGCCAACGATCAAATTTCCAAATCTTACTGTTAGATCATCTTGACCGTTGAGATCCAATGGTCAAGATTTAGTTATGAAATATAATCAATATCTAATTAGTTTATTGATAATTATGATAGTTGTGAATAGACCTCACTTAGACTATTGATCCAACAAAATGAACCTCACTTTTTAGTGAATCAAAGTAGAGGTATTGTATGCACGTTCCTGTTTATATCTTACGAGTTCAAAGTACTAGCCATGGCGATGGGATGGCCCAACCCGCCAGTTCGACCCAAATCGATCGAATCGGCCCTGAGCCGACTTGTGGTCAACAGGCCCAGAACTGAGCCCGTAGTTTGACCGGGTCAGTTCTTTGCCTCATGTACAAAAATTTTTAAACCAGGCCGGCCCTCGAGACAACCTACCATATTTTTCTTTTTATTAATTTTTTTAACCTGTGGACAGTGTCGTGCCGGACCGAGTCGGACCGGTTCGTGGCCGTACCGAGTCCGGCCGATTCGTGGCCGTACCGAGTCGGGCCGGTTCGTGGCCCGATATGGGACCGTTGGCAGCCCGCTAATCTGGCCATTGAAAGCTTTTGACCGGTGGAGATCCAACTGTCAGTTTTTTTTATTTATTTATTTTTTGTAAATTCGGTTCCATGGTACGGGTCCAATTTGGACCCAGCCCGTCGGTTCCACAACGGTTGGCTAATGGTTAGATTTTGGATCATCTTGACCGTTGAGATCCAATAGTCAAGATCCGGCAGACCCACCGGGCCGACCCGGACTCGGATCTGGCGGGTACTGTAAATTAAAAAAAAAAATTGAACAAAATTGAAAAATTCAAAACA